GTCAATCCATACTTTCCGCGGCTGTCCTCTTGCTTTTGTAGCTGATCTTTTGAGATGCAGTGTTTGTGATGGTATTTGATCTTGCTGCATTCTAACGAGATGGCCAAACCACTTGATCTGCTATTTCTCGATGAATCTAGTACAAGGTGTTGTTCCCACAATTTATCTGATAGCGTCATTATTCATTCAATCTCGAATGGTTAGGTTGGCTGCTTTTCTCAGGCATCTTATCTTGCACGTGGTGATTTTGCGTATATGGGCTTTAGATAATGTCCATATCAGGCACTTGTAGCTTAATGCTGGAATGAATATGCTGTTTATAATCTGTCTCTTTGCACTCAATGTCTTAATAATGGTGACAGTTGTTATATAAGTGCACTTGCTTTCTGACATCTGGTTTCTGTTTCTCTGTCATTTCTACCATCTTCCGTTGACATTAAATCACAGGCAGTATTAAACAGTTTAATAATTTATTATTTCGTTTATTTTTACCTATTTTAAATAAAAAGAGGAAGATTTTCTTTCATCTTCTTAATCAGCTAAAACTGTATTACAGCTTGATTTCTGCCATGAACTGTATATAATTAGCTATATCTAATGCACTGGCATCATGGCAGCCAGAAAAATTAGTTCTAGGTGCCATTATTGTGCTATGTCTCCTTCAAGCTGTTGGTCTTCTGCTTCTTTTTCCAGCAACAGTGCCTTCCCTCAATATTCTTTCTAAGCCACTGACATTTAAATGACCAAATATTTCATTTTCTGTGACTTTATGCTTTTTATGAGCTATTTTTCTCTGGTGTTCAGATCTGTAGAATGTCACTACTTTTGTATCCACAAAATTCTAATAATGTTTCTGTAAATTTAGGTTTAATGAGATAACAACTTGATTTTCTACACTTGTAATTAAATGATCACTCATACCCATAGAAAAATGTTTAAAAAAAAAACAACATTCAGAACAAGTTTTTGAAACTAATGATGTAAAAAAGTTCATGTTATTGGTTATTATTGTTACATATGTTCATGATATTCCAATTCCTAATTTTTCTTTCCCCATTCTCTCTCTGCATGCATGTTTGTGTGGTTGTTTTCATTAATTTTTACATAAACACACACACACATGTGCATGTGGATAGAGTATGTCAAAAGCTGCTTATAAAATTATCCATTTTAACATTTCTTATTAGCTGTAAGAACAAGGATATTACCCCCAGACATTTTATTTTGGCATATTCCAAAAGTTTCTCTTTGTCTATTCACAGGCTTTAATTGGGATAGCATTTTCTATAGGCTTTGTATTTGGGCCTTCCATTGGAGCTGTGTTTTCTCACCTGGCCAGAGATGGAAACAAAGACGTATTCTTCATTGTGCCTGCATTATTTTCCTTAGTTCTGGCTATTGCAGATATCATATTTGTTTATTTTTACCTGCAAGAAACTTTGCCAGAACAGAAACGGGTGAGTGTCCCAAATATACATTTTACTTTTTTCATTTTAGTTTGAAATTTTCCATCATTGAATTAATCAGTTATTAACTCTTTGAGTCCCAAGGAACGCATCATACGTTCATAGGTTCCTACCTAGAAGCCCAGTGAACGCATGATGCGCCGATTTTATGACTCTCTTTACTATTCCCTGGGCCTGTGACGTTAAACCCCCTGGGACTCAAAGAGTTAATATAACCAATCAATAAGTGCTATTTAGTATTTTATATGTTTATCACAGTATGTATAACTATAAGTGAAATAGTAAAACAACACTTCTTAATGTCAAAGAATGTAACCTTGTGGAATGTCAGAAATGTCCACCACTTAAACAAGATAGCAAGTTACTTCATCTATCTTTAAGGTACCCTAATTTAACTACTTTTATACGGTTGAACCTAGTGTCTGGTATTTGTCCCTATCAGATTAAATAGTAGTTTTGTAAGTCATCATCACCATGTGCCAGTTTGATAAGCTTTGGCTGTCATGTTTCTCCATCTCACACAATCATCAGAATCACAGATCAGGTCAGTGTTCTTGTCTTGCCCCATTCATATGGCTAAGCAATCCAGGTATTTATCTCTTTATCTTCCCCTCTTTCCATCTACCTTGCCGGTCATTATCATATTCTCACTCGAGTGCTAGAGGTTTTGGGTTCAATCCCCAGTAAGGGCTTTGATTTTTTCACACGGACCTGAAATTCTAGTAATTCGTCCTGGTCTGGGTAGCGAGATAGGATGCCTGTGTGCATTGTTGCGCACATAAAAAAATCCCTTAGCAGTTGGAAATCAAAAAGAGTAGCCTAACGGTGCTGCCCAGGCAAAATTTCTAATTAAAAATCTACCAACAGTATTTCAGGATCCTCACCAGTGCTACAGAGCCTGTGCACTGTGCTGAGCTTCTTCGGACTCAGATTTGAGTTAGAAGAAGAACGGAGCACTTATGGGTTACATCCGTGTGTCATGATGTTGATCCGTTGTTTGAAACCTCAAGAAACATAAATTCAGTGAGAATCAGCTTGAGAATATTAATAATATTCTTAAAATATTTTGCAGCTGAAATCCAGGAACTTATTGTCACATGCTATAGAATACATCAACCCAGTATCATTGTTCAAATTCTCATCTGTTCAGAAGCTGTCCGCATCAGGTAAATAATTCTTTTAATTTTCATAGGCATGTTATGCTTTCTATAGACATTTTAAAACAGTTTGCTGTTTACAGAACTCAATGACCAGAAGATGTAAATAATTATAGAAAGAGTAAAAGTGCATTTTCACACTGCTGAGCCATGAATGAGACATATAATGCTAGACCAATAGTTTACTTCTCAGAAAATTGTGCAGAACTTATTTTAGACTGGGTTAGTCTGGGAGCCCTAGTCAGTGAAAAAGGTCTCTGTTGAAGAGGATTCAAGCACTTGACCAATGAACTGTTAGGCAAACATGAATGGCACTGCATTGCTGTAGCTCCCAGTGTAATAATGAAATGAAATTTACCTGTAAAATGTATCAATTCTGTCTATACCCAGTAAGTATATTGTAAAAAGAAGTTTGCTTCATAGAATACACTATTTTTATAAAATCTACCATTTACTAAAGCTGAAATCTGAACAGCTTGAAACTGGCTGTGTTTGCAGTTAGAGAAGCATACCTGTTTTGCATTTTTTTTTATGTTTGTGATTTTCTAATGAGGCATGCATGACTTTCAAAACCAAAATAATAGCATTAATGCTTTGTGTGACACGGTTTTTGCCATTTCAGTTATTTAGTTGTATACCTTGTACATGTTTTCACAAACCAACCCCATGATTTTTTTACTGTTTGTTGTGTAGTTTTACAATGCAATTTCAATTTTACATTCATTAGTTTACCATTGCTTTGTAAATAGGACAACACTCATACAGTTGTTTAAAAGCTGCTACCAAATGGCCTGCAGCTGACTTTTAACCCGGGTATGTCAGGATTGCAAAACTACTTTATGACCCTAATAACACAGACACTGATGATACCTTGTTACACAGTGATTAAAAACAGAATAGAAACCTTGTGGCTTTAAAATGTATTTACCTATTGCCTGATGGAATTTATAGTTTCTTACCTGTTTCATGATGATGTTTATAGTTTCTTACCTGTTGCATTATGAACAGTTAAAAATTTCTGTTTTTGTAAACATACTTTTTCAGAATCAAGGAAGGTCCAGAATATCGGCTTCATCTATTTCCTCTACTTGTTCATTTACTCAGGTCTTGAGTTCACTTTGCCATTTCTAATGCACCACCGTTTTGATTACACCAGGTAATTGTGTTTTTGTCTTTGTTCAACTGTTTAGAATACCATTTACCTTTTCTTTAGATATCAGCAATGGTGTAACTGCAGCAATGATTTAAAAAAAAAGTTTTATTATGAAACTATGTTTTTTCCTTTATATAAATACTAGCGGGACATGAGTATGAACTTTCTCATAACAAATAAAATCGCCCTTTTACCTCAGGAAGCTGCAAATTCTGGTAGGCTTCAACTCCCAGAGAGTGCAACTTAACCAGCATTTATAGAGTGATCTGTTTATGAGACACCTAATTAATTCCATTGGTTGTTTTTGAGCCTGCACGGTATTGAGGAGAGTTTCCTGTGGGAATTCTCACAGGTTCATGACCCATTATCTTCATTTCTGGAGTGAAAGGATTAAATAAAGCACCACTCAATTTAAAAAATGAATGGGTTCTTCTTCGTCTTCTTTTCTTCCACCTCGTACCTCGGTGAATTGTCGGGGGAAGATGTAACGCTCGTTGATGAGCTCTGTCAAGAGCACTATTAAGATTTATGTTCATTTCTTTAAAGCTGTTCTTTGTGTCATCACTCCATATTTTCCGAGGTCTTCCTTTCGCTCTCTATCCGTTGTAACATTTCAGTGTGGCTCACTGTGGGAGGTAGTACCAGGGCATTCTTGTTAGATGCCAAAACCACTATCTCTGTTGTCACAATTCTACGTTCATTGGAGGATGTGTCTACGTTTGGCACTGATAACATAGTACTAGGCACATCTCGAGCTAATTTCTCTGTCCAATTTAAAATCAGTATGAATGGGTTATGGTTAATATGGCAAAACCATTTGAAAAGACATTAATTTTTTCAGAGAAAACTCAAATACATGTCTTTATGTGTGCCTCTCACTGCATATAAAGATGCCATCATCACAGCAATTCTTCATTCATTTTGTGGAAAGTTATTTGTTTAACTATAACTTTTTAGATCCTGTAAATGTTTAAATTCTAATCATTTTTAATATACATAGGATACACAAACCCTACATATTTCATATAAAACATATTTTGTAGTTTTATTACATGGTCCTATCGTGTATATTTGAAGGGACATAATTCAGTCCACCTAAAAATATTTGTGTCTCCTCTTGCAATTTCCGATGACATCTAATTTTAATAAGTCCAAAACAGTCTTTGCCTCCTGTTAATTTTTAATTGTTCCTTTTACTTTTTCTTATTATTTTTATTGTTACAGCATGCAGCAGGGGAAGATGTTTTTCTATATTGGAAGTGTTATGGCATTGGTGCAAGGTAAGTTTATGTATGACTTTAGTGTTTACCTGACTTTAATCCTACAAACAATTGACTAGATCTTGATTACTGATTTATGAATTGACACCATAGCACATTGGGCATACCCATAGGTGATCTATTTGCCGCAGCAAATGTCTCAAGGTGTAGGTAGATGCTAGCTGTTTCCATAGCACAGAGATTATAAACTTGTCATTCTCTCCCTCTCATACGTCCCTCCTTGCCCGATACACGCCTAATTCCTCATTCACACATTCTTACACATGTTGTTTCATCTAACCTCCTATCTTCTGTCAGCATTCATTCATAAATGGGCTTCAGAATGTCTCCTTTGTCCGGTACAAGTGTTCCTGCAGCTAATGCTTTTGTAGCTAGAAAATCTGCTCTTTCATTTTCTCACACTCCTGCATCTCCTGGAGAGTATATCCTTGTGAGTCCCCGTTGTGTTGATGTGCTGATGCTTGGTATCCTATCATACCACATCTGTCCATTTTGAACCTTCTGCAGTACCAATTGAAAAACAGTCACTATAATTCCTCTGTTTACTCTGTTTTCTGCTACCCACCTGAGAGCTGCAATGATTTCCCCCCACCTTCGTCCTCATACTTGAAGTTGTAGATAAAAAGAGCACCACTTTGTTCAGCCATAATCTTTCTCTTCACTCTGACTAAAAATCCCCATTTAGATCTTTCACCCTAATGAACAGAACCATCAGTATACACTATTACATCATCTAGCCTAGTGTTTTGATCTGTCTGTTTAATTTATCTGGATCTTTATTATGAGCATGCAGCTGTTTTTTTTTTTAGGTGAAAGTTCTAATAATTCAATGTTATTATCATTTCAGGAGGCTACACTCGTAGAATCCCAGCTGGTAAAGAGGTCAAGGCTGCTTCCTATGTAAGATATTGAATGTTTTAGATAATTGTGATTTCCCTTCTCTCTCTTTGTCTGTCTGCCTGTCTGTCTGTCTCTCTCTCTCAAACACACACACACATATATATTTGGGTGTGTATGTGTGTGTGTGTGTTTATAATACATATACATATATCTGCTCAAGTAAAGGTATTCCAGGGCAGACACTGCTATATTTGTGTGGAGTCAGATGTTATGCTTTTACATATATTAGGTAATTGGAAAATAAGATTAATTGACTAGCTTACATATCATCAAGAACTAAGTTGACTAAATGCAGGGATTAGAATACTGAACAAAGTGGGAAATTGGCAAGATGCACACAGATAGAACTAAAACATTACACCAAAGTCATTATTAAATGAATTTTATACTTTCTTACCTACTTATCACCTAGAAGAATCTCTGGTGTACCTTGCTTCAAGGAAACTTGCATGTTCCCAAAGAGCCTTGACCACATCTGTCATAGATCCTTTAACAGTTAGAAATATCAAAGAATATTTTTGTTTTTAATAGAAGAAAAAAAATTGTATAATTAGAGGTTGGGCTTATGGTTCAGTTTTTTTAGAATAGAAGACAAATTATATAATTAGAGGTTGGGTACATGGTGCAAAATTTTTTAAATTTTGTTGTTATATTTATTTGATTTGGAAGTTTTGCTTTGGATTGCTTGTTACATTGTGTTACAAATCATGTCTGTTAGCCCATAGGATGAACAACAGACAAATGTTTGTTAGCCACAGCATGAACAACAGACTAGCGGGCCTCACTTAAGGCAAAAAGGCAGTTATAAAATGAAAAACATCTTGTGCAATATATCCTTGTCATTGAGAGTTAGAAAAAGAATTCTTGTTTGCTACATGCATCCAGTTTTAACATATGGCTGTAAATCCTGGACAATAGGTAGGCAGACCAAACAATTTCGAGAAACCTCTGAGATGTGGTTTTACATAAGAATGCTTAGAATACCTTGGACAGCCAAAAAGAGCAACCAAGAGGTTTTGAAAGAGGCGGGAGCCCGAAGACAACTTATGACAGACATCAGAAGGAGACAGTCATCATTATTCGGCCATGTTATGAGAAGAGGGAAAATAGAACATGTTGTGACCACTGGAAAGATATGTGGAAGGAGAGATAGAGGAAGACAACGAGAGAAGATGCTTGACAGTCTTGTTGCATGGCATGGAGGTGTGTCGGCACACAAACTGATACATGCTGCAGGAGATCGCAGATTATGGAGAGGTATGATCGCCCACGCCAGTCGGCAAGGCACCTGATGATGATGATGTTGTTATATTAGAAGACAAATTAAATAATTAGAGGTGAGGAAAACAATAATGTACCCAGTGCTTACCCAAAAGCACATCGTAAGAGTCAACTATTTGGGAGCTTTCTTCAAAGTCTGAGAGGCAAGGAGCCAACAGTCTGCATAAAAATGAGTCAGATCTGTTGAACAGATGTGCATGCAACACTCAGGTTCTGGAATATGACTAGGGTCCAGAAGTCAATGAACAACCAGAACTTTCTGCTGGAGTTTACAGCTGGTAAATGCGAAGAAGAGGTTTGAAAGATAGCCTGCCTAAAAAGAGTTTGTGACTAATAGATGCTTTCAAGACACTGTGCTGCTGTAGCCTTCTTTCTTCCTTCCAAAATTAGTTAGTTGCATATCCTTTACAGGATGTTGCAGAACCAACCACAGCATTCTTTGGCTGTTGCGGTTTTTCTAGGCAAATGTTACATCCAGTAGTTGCCATTGTTTTCTGGGTAGTTGGCTCTTGATACTACTGTCGAAACCAACGCAACAGGCAAGGTCTGCAGCTGGGATTGAACCCGGCACCCCGACATTACAAAATGCATTCGCAATACCAAAGCAACAGCTCTTTCCAAGTGCTGCTAAGTATACCTCTTGCCCCTAAAATATTAGTTACTGTACATTAAGCATTACTGCTTCAATACTGGCACCCTCTTACTCATAGTTGGATTATGAATAACATTTTGTGTGTGTGTGGGTATTAAACTCTGCATGAGTGTTCTAAAGTGATTTTATCGGTGTTTCATTTGTTTTTCTCTCACAGGGTATACTACTGGTGATTCCATCATTTTTTCTAATGGCATTTGCTACAAATACATTGCTTATGTATACAGCACTGACATTATTTTCATTTGGTAAGTACAAATGAATTTTATTTTTACTGTCGTAATTAATTGCCTTGATGAAGGTAGTGTATGCTAGTTGAATATTGCACCCAGTTTTGCATTTGATTTCTAGTGTAACTTTTTTATGTTTGTTTCATGTCTTTTCTAACCTTACTCCTTATAGATATTTTTTATAATAATGACAAAGTTAAATCTGCAGCATGCTAAAGTCAGTCTATCTTCATGTCTACTAGCGTCTGCTACTGTGGTTCCATGCTTGACGACACTTGTATCTATGTATGGAGGAGAGGATGAGAAAGGAACTATCATGGGTATATTCCGCTCACTGGGAGCTCTATCCAGAGCAGTTGGTCCTGTTATTGCCTCGACAGGTGAGATTCAACATTGAGTGCTTCTACTGTGTTTCCTCAAAAATAAGACTGGGTCTTATAGTAATTTTTGTTTAACAAAATGCACTAGGGCCTATTTTCGTGGGATGTGTTAGTTTTTTTTGCTCCAGAAAAATGTCACATTTAATCGTGTAAAAAATTCTACATTTATTCAAAATAGTCTAGTCATCTTTTCCTGGAACATTATCATAATTCTGCAAATCGCAGATTCTGGCCCTGAATTTCTAGTGACTCCATATCCTGTAGAACCCCTAGCCCCAGTCTCTCATGTCCAGCTATAAAGCTTTCCTCAAATGAGCATTACTTCTCCATGTAGCCTGCTTTCTTACTTGTCCATGTAGCCTTTTTTTCCCTCCATTATAAAGTGCGCACTGGGAATGTCTTTGCTGGAACTGGCTCTTTGGCAACAAGTTTCTCATTCTAACTGACGATTTTAACTAGGGCTTATTTTTGGGGTAGGGCTCATGTTAAAAGCATCCTGAAAAATCTTGCTAGGGCTTAATAGGGTAGGTCTTGTTTTCAAGGAAGCACAGTAGTTGTAATGTTTATGTTCATTATGCTCTCTAAAAACATTCTGATAAAATTTAAAAGAGTCCCATGAATGGACAGAAAAATCAGATAAAACAGTCCTTAAGAAACAGATAAATATATAAATTAATTAAAAAAAATTGATATTTTCATTAGGAGAAACAAAATTGAGAATTTAATCTCCACTGGAAAAGTGTAAGTGAAAGACTAAGAGATAAATTGCCTTGGTGATTGGCCATGTGACAAGAGCATGACAAGAGCACAAATTTTCACAAGAATACAGCCAGGAATTGTTGCTAGTTTACAAAGGTGAATGCTAAGAAGAACGGAAAGAAAGTTTCATGATTTAAAATTTAAAAAAAAGGAAAAACTCTTTCTCGAACAGAGTAAGCTACTCACATCTTGGCAGTAGGAAATTGCTGTCATAAATAATCATCATCAAATGTTTTGCTGACTGACAAGACAATCTTACTTCTTTACATGTTTTGATCCCCAACAGGATGTATTAATTGATGAAAAGGATTATTCAGGCTTTCGAATGTAAATGCTATAGACGCATTTTACCTATTAGTTATTTAGAACACAAAACTAATAAATATGTCAGAGACAAAATATACAATTTGCAGGACATCAGGAGCCTCTTTTGGCAGTGGTGAAACATCGTAAGTTAGCTGGGTTCAAGCACGTGGTGAGACAGGATTTGATTGCAAAGACTGTGCTTCAAGGAACACTGGGGGGTAGTTAAAGAAGAGGAGGGCAAAGACAAAACTGGAATTACAACATCAAGAAATAAACAGGACTAAGTTATCATACACTTATTCGTCAAGCGGAATACAGAGAAAGATTGGCAGGTTTTATGTACTAATGCTTCCATTGATACACCTTCATGACCCTAATGGCTCAAGGGTTGTTATGTTATTAACTCATAAATTGATATATTTTATGCCTTGACGATAATCTTCTCAAGAAATGGCAGAAAACAGGCACATGTAGAAACAAGCCAGAGTTTTGCGTAGTAAAAGTATATGTCAAGGCAAGACTCAAATATAATTTATTATAAAGAATGCAGATCACACATCAAAATTTACTAAAATACATATTAGTTGTCTTTCCATCTTAAAAGTCAAGGTACTTTTATGAGAGAAATGTCTTGTGTCAGAAATTTACAAAATACATTAATGAAGTTTTATGCTTTCCTATACACTAAAGTGTGATTAGAAAGAAAAGATTAGCTGCCAACCTTTCCTTTCAAGAAACAGATATATGAATATTTTGAGAGGGGAATCTGAGCACCTATGGATGTGTCCGGAGTGCTGTGAAGATAATCTAACTCATAACTCAGGTAGAGAAGATGAATAATACTTCTAGTTTCTCCTTTTGCGATAGTGTTTGAACCTACTCAGGAACAGGTACAAGAATTCTTGGTGAATTAAGTCTGGCCACACTACTGGTTACCAAATAGACTAATTCCATCACAAACATCTTTGCAATATTACAGTGTAATCCAAAAATAATTTAACATTATACAGATCACTCACACAGTATTTACTATACATAATTTCAAATAAATCATGTGTATTTTGCATTAAGCTGAGTTACTTTTATCATACAGTGTACTGGTGTTTTGGAGCCCATGTATGCTACACGATTGGAGCTGTAGTTCTGCTGTTGCCATTTATCCAGCTTAGGCGTCAAACGAAACATGCTACAGAATAAAATGATGTGGCAGTAAATGTTCATGTTACATTAATGGGTAGAACATTTATAATTTCAGGTAGAAATTTCATACCTAAACATTGTGGGCAGAATATTTATTATTTTTGTATGTACAATTTCTGAACATGTAGTCATATTTACATGCAATTTATGGGCAGAACCGCCTTGTGGGTGAACTTTCATACTTTAACTCTACCAGACCACTGGCCCGCTATTACGGGAATTTCCTAACCTGCCGCTAAACCGCTGTCCCTCAATGTAGGGAATTTGCGTGCTATAAGAAAACAATGCGTCTCAAACTAGAAATAACTAGCCAGTCGTAATTAGATCTCGTGGATAGTCTTTCCAGATGTCTGCCTGCGTGTGTTTGGAAAAAAAACTTTTGTTTTACGTGAAAAAATTCTGAAAATTCACAATAAAACGAGCGTCTGATGAACCAAACACTTTGGCAGGAAAGTGAAGAAGGTCTAGGCTTTTCACAGTCCAACAGGTGATCGATACTTTGGTTGATTCAGACTCTGCGAAGTCATAATTTCATGAAGAATACGTTCCCAGTTGCAGTGACACAGTCAGTGAGAGCTTGAATGAGGAGGAAAATGTTGAAAATTAAAATCTAAAAATAGATTGAAAGTAGGAGAAGGGGGAGTGTCCCTTAAAAAGCAACATCTGATGTTCACTTTGTGAAACAAGGTAGATCAGCATACAAAGGTGGAATATTGGCTGTAGTTAAAAGGTAAACCTATTTTCTACAATGTCTCCAATTTTCATCTTATTCTAGCCCCTTGTTTGCATGTAACTGATATTTTTGTCTATCATGTTGGTTTTCTCGCGTTAATGCCCAGGAGCTCAGGTATAGGGGGCAGTTAGGTTCAGGGCCTCAGGTCTGGTAGGGTTAAACTTGGAGTGCAGAGCATTTACACCTAGAATATACAGGGAGAACATCTATATTTTGTATTTTTTGGGATAATTTTTTGGTAATTCATGATCTTTAAGTTTGTGTTTCCAAGCTGTATTTTCATCATCATCAGTTCTCGTTATGCCTAGTGGCACATGAGGCTTCAGAGAGGACTTTCCATGCTTTCCTGTCCTGTGCAATCTTCAGTGCAGTTTTCCATGTCAAAGATGCCGCACTCAGGTCACTTTCCATCGCTCGTTTCCATGTTGTTTTTGGGCGCCCCTGTTTTCTCTTTCCCTCTGGTGTCCATGTGAGAGCTGTTTTGGCAGGTATATCAGGATTGATTCTCATAAAGTGGCCAAGCCATTTCCATCTTCTCTTGGTTATCATACTGTCAAAAGTTTCTTGGTTTGGAGGTGGACAGCTTGTGTGCATCCTTTTTGGTCATTCTCCAGCATTCCGCTCCATAAAGAAAAACCGGCAAAATGATGCTCTTGTAGAGTTGGAGTTTTGTTCCTCTGCAGTAACTGTTGGAATTTTCAGATTTGCCTCATCCTTCCAAAAGCAGCTCTAGCTTTGTTCAGACGTGACTGTAGGGACACCACACTGCCAAGATATGTGAAATGTTCTACATTTTCAAGAGTTTGATTATGTATGGTCACTTGTTGGTTTGGACTGCTTGCCATGATCTTAGTTTTCTTTGTATTTATTCTCAGTCCCACCATTTCTGCTGTGCTGTGTAGTCTGTTACTTTTTTCTTGTATATGTTAATGTTTATGTGATAGGAGTTCTATATCGTCTGCAAAATCAAGGTCCTTAAGCATGGCGAATGGAGTCCATTGTTTGCCTCTCAGTGTCCTGTCTACTGTGTTCTTTAGTATCCAATCAATCACAAGGTTGAAGAGGAGAGATGACATAACACATCCCTGTCTTACACCTGTCTTTACTGGGAAAGATGTATTGTAATTTTTTATACTGCAGAAAAAGTTTTTATAGAAAAGAGCAATAATGTTGACTATTTTTCTGGAATTCAATAATGTCATAAAATTTTCCAAAGAGTCTCTATGGACTCTGTCAAAAGCTTTCTCAAAGTCCACAAAATTAAAATATTTAGTATTTTTTGGGATAATTTTTTGGTAATTCATGATCTTTAAGTTTGTGTTTCCAAGCTGTATTTTAATTGCTCTTTTTTTATGTGTTGAGTTAGCATTTATTTGCAACGCACTCAGTTAAAAAAATAATACCTTAAAACTTCTCAAAAATAATTTTTGTATAAATCAACTATTTTCTTTTATACATTGCTCTTGTGTTTGGTATTTTTGCCACATTGTTTGGGAACCACTGACTAAAAAAATTAATCACTTAAATGTTGAATGTTAAATGTTGAATAAAGAATTGACATCATAGCACTCGGGACACCCCCATTCTTCAGCAGCAAATGAAGAGTTCCAATTCTATTGACACCGGTAACTGTCTGATTGAATATTCATCTCACTCTTCCCTTGAGTGTTGAGCGTTGACCAGATCTCCTGGTAACTCCTCGCAGCGTCATTCTCCTTAGACCGTAATGATCTATATGCTCTTCCGCACTGTTCACTTGCTCCCAGAGGGCCCTAACAATGTCTAGTTTTTTATACATGAATTCATTTATCAAGTGGTGCAGAACCAGCCAGTCTATCGGCCTGATTATTTCCCAACACACATCCAAAGGATACTAACTACTCAGGACCTCTGAAGTGATGCTTGCCACCTGTCTCCACCTTTCTGAACTACAACTACAAATTAATCACTGAAATAAATTGTCCCATTAGTAGGTGTTTTCTGTACTAAATAGTCACTGTCTGTGATAAAACTATTATTTACACAACATTGAAGCACAAACATATCATATGTTTCTGGTTGGTTATGTTTAGTGTGTGATCTTCCATAGTATTGATTTTCTTATAGATATTTTTTTTTTGATGTTAATGATTGTGATAAAATAAGGTCCATGATCGTTTTATAAACCCTACAATAAATAAATGATATATCTAACAACTGCTTGAAGTAAGTGCGGTTTCTGGACACCATTTTCTTTCTGTAAAATCAACAAACCTCTAACTCAAACAGCATGTACAGTTTGATTTTTTATTTGAAAGAAAAACATATATTTTTTCATATTTATATGTTACTGCTTAATCTCTTAAATCTTAACATATTATTTCTTTAAAAATATCTATATTCTACTTCTTAATCTAATAAATGTTAAGATACTTTCCTGCAAGAAAAGTCTGCTTCCATATTTTTGAAACTGTAATATTATCTTGCTAAATTCAAGCTTCATCTTTAACATCATCATCAATTTCCATATCTACTATTAAGTGTTGTGGGGAGAAAACTGTTTGTGCTCCATTGCTTGATGGGCAGCAATGGCTTTTGTTATTTTGTTTCAGTGTAGAAGCTCTTTCTCTGTCTTGCTACCTCTGTATGTCTATATATATATATATATATATATATATATATATATTATATATATATATATAATAATATAATATATATATATATTATAATATATATATATGTATAAATAGCTATATGTGTATAAATAGCTAAATGTTATAAATAGCTATATGTATATATAGCTATATGTATATATAGCTATATGTATATATAGCTATATGTATATATAGCTATATGTATATATAGCTATATGTATATATAGATATAGCTATATGTATAAATAGCTATATGTATATATAGCTATATGTATATATAGCTATATGTATATATAGCTATATGTATATATAGCTATATGTATAAATAGCTATATGTAATAAATAGCTATATGTATATATAGCTATATGTATATATAGCTATATGTATATATAGCTATATGTATATATAGCTATATGTATATATATATATGTATATATAGCTATATGTATATGTAATATATAGATATATGTATATATAGCTATATGTATATATAGCTATATGTATATATAGCTATATGGTATATATATATATATATATAGCTATATGTATATATATATATATGCATATATATGTATATTTATTCACATATACCTATATATCTATATACCTGTCTCTCTTTCTTTCTCTCTCTCTCTCTCTCTCTCTCTCTCTCTCTTCTCTCTCTCTCTCTCTCTATATATATATCTATATATATATATATATATATATTATATATATATATATATATATTAATTTAATATAATTGTGTGTGACCTAAAGTTGATCTTTTGTCCTCCGTTTGTATAAATCACAGTTTTTCCAGCTATATATTAATGATTAAACAAACAAGAGTGGTTCACTGTTGAGGGAATGCTACTACAAATGTTTTATATTAGTTACAGAGACTTGAAGTTTGCAAAAATCATGTACTCTCAGATATTTATGGAAATATTTACTAAATTTCCATCTGATATTTGTCTTTTTTCCCTATGTTTCTATATTTGCTTATGCTGAAATCATAATTATTTTAATATACTTATGCATGACATCAAACTCACTATATTCTGACCCACAACCCCCGCACCCTTCCCAATCACCTGTGTGATATGTCAGCTTATGATTAAGTTTTATTAAGTTTTTGATTAATTTTTGTGTTTTCTATTTATCAGTGTGTATGGGCTTCCTTCTGTTATCTTTTATCCCCCATTCAAGTAAAAGCCCTTTTACCAGTTCATGCTATCCACCTTTTTGGTTATGTTGATAATGTTCCTACAGTCCGTCTGATAATAAACTTTATAAAAAATTTTTTAAATGAAATAATTGAGACAGTTGTAACTAAATATGTTCTAAATAGCAAAATGTATATTTCAAAATTATTTGTTTAAATTTGTTGATGTCCACAACTCCTTTGATTCTGTACCAGATATATTGTTTTTAAGTGGTTGTGGTCTATGTCTATTTCTCTGTCCGTCTGTCTGTTTCTCTCTGTGTGTGTGTGCATGCATGCGAGGAATGGAATGAGTAAGTGAGAGAGACTATACAGTTGCTCTTTTGTCCTCTGTTTCTAAAAACCACAGTTTTTTAAGCTGTATATTAATTTTTAAACATATAAGAGTGGTGCACTGTTGAAGAAATGCTACTATAAATGTTT